GATTGCTTAGCGCAGAATGTCAGGATGGAGCTGTCTAATCCTGGAAGCATCCAAGACTCCAGACCCCTAAACCTCAAATGGGAAGCCCAGAATATTCCCACCACCAATCCTATCTTAGCCCATTTCCTTTCCCCCAAACTATACAGAACAATTTTGGAAAATTCAGAGACAATGCTGGGAGAGGGTGGCAAAAGTTTCCTTCGAAGGCTCCCCATCATTTCTTTAGTGATCTAAGTGATACAGCACAGCATAGCCATCAACTTTAAACTGGACATCAGACTTTCTTGTTCTTCACATTTTCACAGGCATTCCTACCATTGAAAAAGGCCTACTAACTGTCCCTTCTCCTGTGCCCGTGACCCATCCCTGCTGGGCGCTTTCTGTCCCCCAGCATACTGGCAGCTCCCCTCCTTTCCAGTTCCAGGCTCCTACGTCCTCTCCCTTGAGCTGCTGATGAAATCTCAACTTTCCCCCTCTTACATGTAGGGCAATTTAATTCACTTTGTGTAACTTCTAAGCCCTGAGGGCTATCTTTCCACAACAAAATAACTACATTTTGTTAAACAAAAGGCAAATTTCCCATAGATGAGGAAACCTCTTACCCACCTTTGGACTAACCCTCTTTCTCCCCTGCTCTTTGTACATTGACTCCTTCCTCAGCACTAGTCTGTAAGGCATGATAGGGCCATTTACCAGAAAATGAGCACAAACTACATACGTATTAGGCACCTCTATAGAGGAGGCCCTTGCTCTTGAGGAGCTTACATTTCTACTGGTGAAGAATGTGTGAGCACTAGCCTGGTTTTACAAAAAGCAACACTGAGGGTGAGAGAGGTAACTTGCCCAAGGCAAAACAACTAACTAAGGGGAATGGCACTGGGAGGACTTGAACCTGGGTCTGTGGGATAACAAATATCAGAGCCTTAACCACTGCTCTATACTTCCTCCAATGTTTTGAGTCCCAGAATATCCTTTCCAACTCTTCTGAGAAACATATTCTAGGTACATTACACTATGATTTTCATCTATGGAGGCAAGCCTAACTGGATAACCATATACCCATTTAGATATTTTCATAGTTTCCTAGGATATATGATTATTTCATTATGAGATCAATGTAGAGTTTTTAACATTTTACTTTCATTAAATCCATGCATGTACATGGCAATGAATCAAATAGTACAGAAGAGCATATGATAAAAACTAATAGTCCCCTGCCTCAATCCTCTCCATCTCCATGCCAGCCCCTCAAAGCCACCTTTTCACAATTTTTGGTTTTAGTTCTACAAGTGGTTCCCTTCACAACTCTAGATAATATGTATGTAATGTTTCTTGGTTTATAAAATTTAGACAATATCCTGTTGACTCCCCAAGATGGCAATGAGGATTTTGTTTATGTATCCTGCCTCACTTTTCCCTCCCCTTCCCTGCAATGGTTAACATTGATATTCCTTTTTTGTTCCTGGCTAATTTTGTAATTTTGAAAAAAATATACTCAGGCCTCTATTTCTTATTCCATCCATTTTTGACAGATAATTCCAACTGCCCACTTTTGATGACAAGGATATTAGGGCCACTACCCATCTCCTATTCATTTAATGTCCCACATTGTCAGTTTCATCTTTCCTTTTACATTGTTCAGTTTATTAGCATTTACATTCTGTTCTGCAGCCACAATCAGGTCTTCCCTGCTTTGTTTCCCCAGGTTAACTCTAAAACCTGAAAACCAATAAACAGCATTCACATTATCATAGCTACGTAAATATTTTTCAAAATCTAGCCAAACAGTGAGCCAGGAATACACTTCCTTCTCTACAAGTCCAATGCCACAATCTTTGGGCCTCTCAAAGGAGGAGTATTTCTAATATCAAGGTCAAAAGAAGTCTCTCTTATACTCCATCAGCTGCTTATAATCATGTTATTTTTCTTTATTTTGGCATATTATGAGGGTACAGATGTTTAGGTTACGTATGTTGCCCTTTTTACCCCCCTCCCCCCCAAGTCCGAGTTTCAAATATGTCCATGCTTCGGGTGGTGCGCATTGCACTCTTTGTTTATGCATATAATCATGTTATATTTTATTTTGCATTGTATTTGGACCACAACTTTCTTGAATAATTACAAACACACACACACATGACACACACAAGTGGAGTTTCTAAGAGCCTTTCTTTTTTCTTTGAATTATATGCTTTTATTATATTCAGTCATTCAGTGAATATTTATTGAGTGTCTACTATGTACCAGGCACTGTTCTAGGAGCTGAGGATATATCAGTGAAAAAGACAGATAGCAATCCTTGCCCCCTATAGAGCTGATTCTAGTGAGGGAGAGAATGAAAATAATCAGATAAATCAGAAAAATATATAACAAGTCAAACTATGTGACAAGTGCTGCAGAGAAAAATAAAGCAGATAAAGGGATGGGGAATGCCAGTGGGGTGGGAGATAATTTCAGTTTAAATTGATCACAACAATGTATTGTATATTTCAAAATAGCTAGAAGGGAGGACTTCTGTTCCCAACACATAGAAATTATAAATACCCGAGGTGATAGATACCCTAAATACCATGACTCGATCATTACACAGTCTATGCATGTAACAAAATGTCGCATGTACCCCGTAAATATGTACAAATATTATGTATCAGTACAAGAAAAATTAAAAATAAATATATAGGTTGGTTAGGGAAAGACTCACAGAAAAGATAGCATGTGAGCAAAGACTTGCAAAAGGTGAAAGAGCTAGCCAAGTGGATACCTAGGGGGAAAAATCATTTCAAACAGAAAGAATAGTGCAAAGGCCCTGGGACAGAATCATGCCTGGCATTTTTTCCCCATGCCTGGCATTTCTGAAAAACATAAAGGCCAGGGTCGTTAGAGTGGTGGAGAAAGGTAGGGAGAGAAGGAATAGGAAATCAGGTCAGATAAGTAATAAAGGCTTGCCTCACCAACCCCTCTCATAGGGGGCCCCATATGCCACAGGAGGTTTTTGGACAGAAAGGAGAGAGGATATGACTTGGGTTTCAAATGGATTTCTCCTCTGTCTTTTGTGAAATATACTGGTTGGGGACAGAAGAAGGGATGACAAAGGCAGAAGCAGGAGCAACAATGAAGAGGTTGCTGCAATAATTGCTTGGTTTGGATCCACTGTTTCCTAGATTCACTGTTCTGGGCACCTGTCTGGAGAGCCTTCTTCAGGGAATAAACTTCAAATATGTTTTTGATAAAGTTTCCTTCATTCTTTTTGTTCTCTCTGTCTACAACTCCTATTATTCAAATGTTGAGCCTGCTGGATTGATCTATATCTCTTAAATTTTCTCTCACATTTTCTGTTCCTTTGTGTTTTTTGCCATACACTCCCGGAGATTTCCTCAATGTTATTTTCCCAGTCCTTGTGTTGATTTTTTTTTTTTAATTTTAGCAACTTATTTTAAATTTCTAAGGAGTTTCTTTTCTCTGATTGTTCTTGTTCTGTGGCATCTAGTTCTTGTTTTATGCACGTTTTATCTTCTTGAATCTTGTTGAGAATATTATCATTTTTCCCCTAAAGTTCTCTTTTGTTTCCCAGATTCCAAAACTGCTCTGGGATGACTTGTTTTGTTTGTTTATTTTAGTCTTTTGCTTTCATGCTGCAGGCTTCCTTAATTTGCCTGTGGATTCTTGGTTGTCCATTCATATTTAAGAGAAAAGGACTGAGTAGCTGATGTGGGTTTACTTATATAGCAACAACTGTATAAGCAGAGCTGTTCTCTAGCTAGGGCTCTCCCTCATGAGGAAATCCCAACAGGAAACTTGATCTGGACTTGGGGGAGGTGGTAACTGACAGGCTTTGGGTCCCCCAAATTTTAGAATGCGAAGACTTTGTTGTGTGGTGCCAAATGCCACAGGACAAGTCTGAGTGTTCCTGGGGCAGTTTGTAAAATGTTGACAGTGGCTTTGCCGCTGAAGGTAAGTGCTAGAGATGTCTGTGCTCTATGTGAGTGGCAAGGAGAGAAATGCTGATGGCCCCCGTGCAGACCTTCAAGTACTTTCCTTTTTCTCAGCCCCACTCCCACCCCCACCCTCCACAGGACCTGCAGAAACTGAGTCTGGAGCACCTCGACTCAGCATCTCCCCCCTCCCACCTCTACCCAAGACTCCGGAGGAACAGGAAGCTATCCATACTTTTGATCCCTGTCATGCTTCATCCTACCCTCATCCTAGCAGCTGTTTACTGAACACTTACCATGTGCCAAGCATTCCAAAAGTACAAATGCAATCTTAATAATGAGCTTACAAAGCAGGTACTATTATTATTCTCATTTTATAGATGAGGAAACTGAGGCTCAATATTACATAGTCAGTAAGTGGCAGAACTGAGATTCAAACCCAGATGGTCTGAGTCCAGAGCCTGTATGTTGAACTATTGCATTATATTCTTTCTCAGTTCTGCCCTAGCCTGTCTTAGCCTTTTACTATTCTGGGGATCATAGGTCTGATGTCTGTAGGACCCCTAAGTTGTTATTGGACCCTGAGTAAGTCCCTCCTGGCTCTAGGTTAAAGTCAGCACCAGAAAGGACCACGACTGGGGGCATTCCTCTCCGACCCCTCTCTCATCTCACCTTTTTAAGATGCTCAATACTAAATGCCCTTTCTCTGGCCCCAGTTACTGGGCTCCTGTGGATGTTTATAGGAAAGAAAAACCCCACCCTGAGCCAACACAGCAAACAGACAGACCCAGTACTCTGGTATGTTTAGTTTCCATTCATCTTACAGCTGGATGAGTGGAAAAAGGGAGGAATGGAACTGGCCCTTCTCCAGGCAAGATGCCAGCCCCAGCTCTTGGACAATCCTGGCTTGTATGGGCCTCAATGCCACATTCAGAGCCTTCCCCACCCTTCAGGATGGTCCCTCCCTCTCAAGCGAAGGGATACCTGGAGGTTTAAAAGAGCAGAGATTTGGAGATCAGTCTCAGACCTTCTGGATGTGAACAACAGACCCAGGCCAGAGGTGGCATCATGTCTGGGTGGAGGTACCTCATCTGTGTCAGTACTTTGCTGACCATTCTCCTTGAACTGACATGCCAGGGACCTCCTGGCCCCCCTTCATCAAACACAAAGGTCAGTTCTGGGATGAGGGAACAAAACTTGGGGATTTGTGAAAAAATTAGCTCCTTCGGGGGAATTGGGGAAGGTTATCCAGTCTGTTTCTTCAGTCCTACGACTGAGAAGCTGGGGCCAGAAAAAAGATGTACTGTTTGCTGAGCTCATGTCAGGTGCTATACCAGGGGTCTTAGAATTATTATTTCATTTAGTCCTCACAGCATCTCTATGAGCTAGGCTCTATTGTTATTCCCATGATAAAGAAGAGGAAACAGAGGCTCAGAGGTTAAGACACAGTTAGGAAGTGGCAGAACCAGAATATGAAAGTAGGTTAACCTGATCCCAAATTTCCCTCCATTTCCCATTGCCTCACACTGGGAAGGAACTAGGTGTGCACTATGTGTGGGTAGATGGAGGGATCATGACTTCGGGAAGGGTGAGGAAGAAGACAGATATCTTGCCTGCTGTCTGACCTCAGTTAACACATTGTAAAATGTGGACATTAATAGTATCAAGCTCATGGGGCTGATGTGAGGATTAAATAAGATCATGAATGCCAGATGCTTATGCTTGCAGTTCATGATTGCATATATCAGGTGCAATTCTTTTTACCTGAGATCCTAAAAAGGAAAAAATAAATATTTATCACAATGCCTTGCTCAGAGTAGGGCTCAATGAATGGCAACCACTCTGCTATATTCTAAAGCCTTGCTACTCAAAGTGAAATCTGTGGACCAGCAGTATTAGCATCCCCTGAGAGCTTGTTAGAAGGGTAGAATCTCAGCCCTCAACCCAGACTTGTTGAATCAGAATTTACATTAAACAAGATCCCCAGGAGATTCATGTGCACATTAAAGTTGGATCGGCACTTGTCCAGAGAGGTCCCTTGATTTGTGATCTTCTGTGAGTCTTTGGTTCTGAGACTCGATGAAGCTCGCTGAAATATCAGGCAGATCCACAAGATGGATGCTAGAGGCTGTTTTCCTTCTCTAGGCCTCATTTTAGCCACCTGTACCCTGAGACCTATCTAGGAATCTTGTGTTCCCAAGTACTAGCCTATTAAGGCCAAAGATAGAGTCTACCTAACCCACCTCCTATCTTCCCTCTCAGCTGTTGATGATGAGCTATTCCATGCGCTCCACTGTGGTATCTCGCTACGCCCACAACTTTGTCACATCTGTCCTGTTCAATCCACATGCTGAAGCCCATGAAGCCTTCTTTGACCTGGATCTGCCTCGCCTTGCCTTTATCTCCAATTTCACCATGTGAGTCTGCTTCCAAACTCACCACGTCATTCATTCATGCATACATTCTTTCATTCTTTTGCTTGTTCTTTCAGCAGAGCATAGTGATTAAGAGGATGCAGTCTGAGATCAGACTTCTTGAGTTTGAAACCTGGCTCTGCCAGCTATGGGACTCAGGGCAAGTTACTTCTCTTCTGGGAATCTCATTTTACATGTCTACAAAATGGAGATAAAATTAGAACCCACTTCTGAGGATTAAAGGAGTTAATATATGTGGAAATGTATGCTAAAATAAGTGCCAGGAACATTATTATGATAATGTACTTGATAATATTAGTTTTATTATTTTTTAAAAAAACATTTCCTAATGCTGACTGTGTGACATACACTGTGCTGGATACAACGGAAAGAGTGAGATGAATTGTACACAGTCTCTACTCCCAAAGAGCTCACAATCTGATGGGGGACATAAAAAAGTAAGAAGATGATTTTAATAAAGTATGCTGGGAGGAAAGAGAAGTCTGAATGCAGAATGGTGGGAATGGTGAAGCGGACCAGGAGACAGTGGTCAGTTCCTTCCCCCCAGGCTAGTGGACAAAGCCTCAGAGATGACACCTACACTCAGACTTGAAATATGAGATGTTCACCAGGCAAGCAAGGTGTGGTCAGGGCTGGGAAAGAGGAGTAAAGGCACAAACATTCCCTCATTAGGGGAACTGCAAGTACTTCCATGTCACTGTAGTGTCAGGGACAGGCAAGGGGTAGAAGAGTGGTCAGAAAGAAAAATTGAAAGGTAGGGAAAAAATAGGCCATGGAGGACTTCTAATGCTAGAGCACATACTTGGGGCTTACTTAAGGGTCTCCAAACCATCTTATGTGTTTGTACACCTATCAGGAAAAACTTGATCATGTACTCCCATAATATGTATATTTATTAATTTATACATTATATATATATATATATACACACACACACTACTGAGCAAATATATTAGGTACATTATAAAGCATATAAATATAAATCACAAAGGATGAGGAAAAACCCCTATAAATAGAGGGTGAATATTCTTTTCCCACTCCCTCTCGATTTGTCTTCAGTATCCCCTGGGACCTGTGCACCTTTCCTTAGAAATAACTGTGGCCCATAAAGAGGAGACACAGCAAGGTTTTAAGCAAGGAGGGATGATCGTGCAGTGGGCATGGGCTGGCAACCAGGAGCTTAGTAGGGAAACAGGGACGGAGTCCATGTGCAGGGCATGCTGAAGGCAGGAACAGGACAGTGGCGGTGGGTCTGAGAGACCATTGGAGGGAGAAGCAAGCTGACTGTGTGTGGGGAGTAAGTAAATACAGATGGTGCCTACCTTTCTTTTGGCCTCTCAGACCTGGTGGATGACAGTGCCTTATTGAGGTGATGAACAAGGGAGGAGGAGCAAATAAAGGGAAACTCAGTGGGGCCTCATTAGCCCCCATAGTGCCTTAGTATGAATTAGAAAATGGCCCCTGGCTTTGGGGAGAGGGACTCTCAGGCTTAGGAGATTAGTGAGCCCAGCACAGGCAGAATTTCTGTCCTAGCTCAGGCCCCATCTTCCCTGTGAGTGAGGAAGAGGTTCTTGTGCCATCAACAACCTGTACAACCTCAAACAGCAGCCCTGGGGCCTAGGCTGTGACATCAAGAACCTTCTGGCACTCCCCTGGAGAGTAGCTAAATTGGAGGAGGTAATTGGTGTGGAGTCAGGCCAGGGATTTCCGGGGAGAAGTGCTGGGGTAGTCAAGGAGGGCTTCCCGGAAGCAGAATTTCCATGTTGGTAAAATGTCAACGGACCAATATCACTGCACAAGGGGACCCATGGGAAACAAAGACCAAAAGAGCAGGCATGGGTCTGGAGTATGGGGGCTAATCAGAGAGGCTGGCAGTCAAATGATGTAAGGGCCAAGTAGTCAGGGAGAATTTGGATTTTTGCTTCAATAGAAAAAACACCAAAAGAATTAAAAAAAAAAAATTAAGCAAAGCAGGCTGGAGGAAATGTTCTCGGGCAGACTCTGTGGAAAGTATGCTGGCTGGAGGCAGCACACACACAGAGGCCCCAGTGTGCTGCTGCCAGACCAGCTCCACCCTACCTCCCCACCCCCCAGGAGACCTTGGGGCAGTGCCAACTCTGCCCACCCCCACACTAGCTCAGCCACAGCAATGCTCTGTTGCAGCTGCCTAGAAACACTTCTCACCCGAGTGGTCTCTTCTGCAGGCTACTTATCCTCCCTCAGTGTTCCTGGAAGCTGCCACCTTGGTCGAGCAACTTTCCTGATATCTGTGCCTCAGTCACTACATTTGTAAAATGGAGACTGTGTCCTTTCCTCCTACAGAAAGAGGCAAGAAATAGAAAGGAGGAGAACTAATGTTCTCTAGGACACCCAACCATCACTCCTCGAAGGCTAGCTCTGACTCATTCCTGCCCTTTTCAAGATTTGTCCAAGACTCCCCATTCTCCATGGCAAAAAGTCCTTGCTGCCATAGGAGCTCATTGAGTCTTGTGTTCAAAGCCCTTTATTCTCTAGACCCACCCAACCACTCCAACCTTCCCTCCATACCTCCCTTCCCTGCCCCTCTGCTCCAGCCAAATCTAACTAACTGCTTACTGTTCCCTGAAACAAAAAACTCTGTGTTTTCCTGCTGTCTGTCTGAGATGCCCACTCCACAAATAATTGTTGAGTGCCTACTCTGTGCCAGGCCATATTCCAGGCACTGGGGGTACAGAAGCAAATAAGACAGACAAAATCCCTTGCCCTAGAGGAGTTCATAGTCTAGTAGAGAAGATAGACTAGGAAAAAAATAAACAAGTAAGTATATGTGAGTTTGTGGATGAGAAGTGCTACAAAGAAACAGAAAGTAAAGCAAAGGAGACGGGCTGAGGGGGAAGGTGCTGTTTTAGAGTGATCAAAGATGTCTGTCTGAGAAAGTGACATTTGAACAAAGACTTGACAAAAAAAGACGGTGTAAAGACTTGCAACAATCTGGGGGAAGAGCATTCTAGGCAAAGGGAACAGTAATTGCAAAGGCTCTGAGACGGGAATGTGCTGAAGAAATTCAAGAAATAGCAAGGAGGCCAGTGTGGCTGGAGCAGAGTGAGTGAAGGAAAGAGTAGGGGGAGATGCAGTTAGAGAGTGACAGTGACCCAGATTGTGTAGGTTGACAGGGGACTTGATGAGGACTTTGGCTTATACTCTGAGTTGAGATGGGAGCCACAAAGAGTTTTGGGCAGAGGAGGTACATGGCCTGATTTAGGATTAACAGGATCTCTCTGACTGCTTCAAGGAGAACAGAAAAGGAGGAAAGAGTTTGAAGAAGGAGGCCAGGTACTATTTTATTGCACATATCCAAGCAAGAGGTGTTGGTAATTTGCATCAGGACAGTAATTGCGAGAGTGGTGAGAGGTGGTCAGATTGTGGATGTCTTCTAAAGATAGAGCCAAAATCTCTGATGGATTGGATGTGGAGTGTGAGAGAAAGAGGGAAGTCAGGCATAGCTCTAAGATTTTTAGCTGAACAACTGTTTCCTGAGATAAGGAAGACCAGGGGAGGAACAGATTTGGCAGGGGAGAGATACCTGGAGCTCAGTTTTGAAGATGTTCAGCTTGAGGTGCCTATTGACCATTCTAGTGGAGATGTCAAGTAAGCAATTGGATGGGTCTGGAGTTCAGGGGAAAAGTCCACATTGGAGACACACATTTGGGAGTCATCTGTGTATAAATGGTATTTAAGGCCATGGGGCTAGATGACATCACCTAGAGAGTGAATGTAGAAAGAACAGAACAGGGAAGAGGAGGGAAGGGAGGAAAGGGGAGGAGAGCGCAGATCGACAACACAGCCTTGGAGTGTTCCAAAGATTTAGATGTCAGGAAGAGAAGGAGCCAGCAGAGGAGTCTGAGAGGGCATGGCCAGTGAGAATTATTTCTTCATATCCTCCCTCTCTTTCAGGCCTGGCTTCAAGGCTACCTCCTCTAGGGCCCTTTCCTGAAGACTTGGGCAAAAGTGTTCTCTCCCTTCTTTGAACTCCTTTACACTTCATTACCTTCCTTAGAGAAATGGGGAAAATGGGAGTAAGCAAGTCTGTTTGCAATCCATCAGTGTCTGAGCTCCTTGAGGATAAGGCCTTCTCCCTTGTCTGGCCAAGAAAACTTTGCAGCATTTTGCACACTGCTTTCACAGTTTTTACCACCTGTGCCACCCACCATATAATCTGCTTAATATATTTCTTAAATAGATACACTTTTTAAGATGATCTAGGTCTTATCTTAAGCAACAATATCTGTAAGTTCATGGGTTTATGTGCTAGTTGTATTTTTAAGTAAACATTATAGTAAATACATAACAATTATAATAAAATGTTCAGTTATGTCCCACCTAAAATTATGTTGTCTGCCAAAAGGTGGCATTCCTTCAACACTTTGGGAAACACAAAACTCTAACACCGGGTCCACCATATGCTGTGTGGTCTCTGTTTCCCCATCTGAGAAATGGAGATAATGATACCAACTTCACCCTGTTTATATCCCTCTCTTCTCCTCTTTTCTCTTCTTGCCACTCACACTGGGGCTTCATGGCACTAAGTTTTTTTCCCCTAATCCCCATCCTCCTCCTCCTCCTACTTTGTATATCTCTTTCTCTCTATGTCTCTGACCATCTCTTTTTTTATCTTTCCCTATCTCTGCTGTCCCTCCTCTTTCCTGCCCCATCAGGACCATCAACAATAAAGTCTATGTTGCAGAAGTCAAAGAGAAGGACCAGGCAAAGAAAATCTACAAGGAAGCCCATCGGCAGGGAAAGACAGCTGCTCATGTAGGCATCAGGTAAGGCCCCATCCAGCGCAAAACATGACTTAATCATCTTAGCTGTGTGATCAGGGGAGATGTATGTTCTCTCTGGGCTTCAGTCTCTACCTCTGTAAAGTGGGGACAATGATCTCTACTTCATAGGATTATGTGAAGATGATGTGAGCTAATGAATATCAAAGCCTGTAATAGAGTAGGTGTTCAATAAATGGAAGTTTGCTTCCCCATTTCCATTTTTCTCCTGCCAGCATGATGTGACTTAAGAATTGGCACCTTCCGGGAAGATTATGTGCAAGTGAGATTTTTCAAAATTGAATCCTGTTTCCTAACTGAGTTCCACTTAGCTGGCAGAAATGTATTGTCTTCCTTCAGTGTTTCCTCCCAGCTTTCAAGGGAGTTTCAAGGAGCAAAAACTTTAGCTTTGGCTCCTGCTATCTGAGGAGTTACTGCCATATAAACAAGCTCTGTGAAAAGCAGGGGGGAGGGGTGGCTGGGAGGGACAGCTTGAACAGGAAGAGACATGGTGTGTAAATCGAAAACTCTTTCTGTAAAACAAATCCTTAGCCCCTAATTACTCTATTGTAGATTCAGATTTTCACAGACTGAGTTCTCTTAAGCACGAACTACCTGTGGTACAATTTCTCAGGCAAAATATTTAGGGGAGTGAATGAGGGAGGGAGAGAGATTGATGAATGGATGCAAGGATGACTGAAGATGGGCCAGTGACTCTGTTGACCAGAAGCCGGGTCAGGTCTGCTGCAGCAAGAGTAAGGGTGAGCAAAACCAGGTCATCTAATAACCCTCCAGCTCCTCAGGAGATACTGTTCCTTTCACACCTTCATCCCTTTCCTGTCCAGAGACCGGGAATCAGAGAAGTTCCGCATCTCCACCAGCGTGAGAGCAGGCACAGAGGTGACTTTTTCCTTGGCCTACGAAGAACTGCTGCAGCGGCACCAGGGCCAGTACCAGCTGGTGGTCAGCCTAAGGCCAGGACAATTGGTAACGAGGCTGAGTGTAGAGGTCACAGTGTCAGAAAGGACAGGCATTGCCTATGTGCATGTACCGCCTCTGAGGACCAGCCGCCTGCGTACCAACGCCTACACAAGTACGTGGACAGCACTGTGGGTCAGCCACTGACTCACCTTCCCTTAATGGGAACCTACTCCATTCCACTGAGCTTCCCTCTATACAACTCCTGCCCTATGTTCACTGCCAAGTTTCTTCCCAACTCAGTGAGAAGAGGGCATGTTTAGAGTTGAAGATATTTGGATTCCAACCTTGGCCTGGTCTTTGCAGGCTGCATGACGTAGCCAGTTACAAACTTCCCACACCCTCTATTTCCCTCATAAAAAAAAATCAATATTAGAAGGGGTCGCTAAGTGGGCTAATGAAATCAAATCATGTGTTAACATTGCCGAAGCTTGTAGAAGGGTCACTGGGCAAACCCTGCTGTCCCCTGGATCGCCACTGAGTGTGGAAGGACGATGGGAGTGCAGGAAGGATACCTCCTCAGGGCTGCAGGGCAGAGAGGCGTCCTGCCTGCCAAGCTTGCTAGCGGTTTTCCAGGGCCAGACCAGCTACATCAGAATCACGACGCAAGCTCTTAGAAATGCACATTCCTGGACCCAGCCTTCAGGGTCTGCTTCAGTCGGATGGGGTGGGACCCAGAATCTGCGCATTCAACCAACCAGCCTCAGGTGACCTTGATGTCCAGCCGAGCTGGAGAGCCACGGAGCTGGCCTACACACCTCATCCCAGCGACGAGAGGACAGGCACAGAGAAACCCCAGCTCACGTGGCCACCCCACAAAGCACTTTAGCACGGGAGGGTCTGCCTGATTTGACCCTGCTGAGCCAGGGAGGCCGTGAGGTGGACAGAGTGGAGAGAGACAGACACACAGACTGGGTTC